CAGTCGAGAGGCGTTGGTCGGGTTCGAACCACAAGCCTTCTGGTCGTGCTCTAACCACAGAGCCATCCCGCCCTCTGTCCTACGGATGGAAGGATGTAATCTATGAGATTAAGCTAACCAACAATCACAGTGTTAACTTCGGCAAGTGTGGTCGTCTTATCGCTTATATTACACAAAGTGCCGGGCTTCTTATGTTATTTTAGCGTAATGCATATTCTTGTGATTAAGTAAGCTTATATTTTTCATAACTCACACCTCAATGGACGTTAAACAAACGAGTGTTATCACTCGTGTATAGAGTTTCATGGCTGAGATTGAGAGGTGGGTGGAAGCCTAAGTGATGAATGTGATCAACGTCTTCTGCAAGAAATCGTTAGTAGTTGTTGGGGTTATTGTTTCTGGAAGGGGTCTACCAAAGAGGCCAAGCAGAACTGCAGTGTGTCACATGCTCCTTGCTTTTTTATGTCTATCAAAACGTCTGTGGCACTCAGTCAAAAAATGCGTGAAGTTTCCACAGCGTTTTAAAACAATGTCTGCATTACCTCAGGAGAACATCTAACCTATTTATTGACTACCACTTTGCTAAATATTCAGTTTGTGGCAGCCTTTTAATTATCATTGCCATTGTGTGACCTCAGGGTAGCACTTTGATGTGCAACCCGTCTTTGTAGAGCTATTCAAAAGTATATCTGCCAAAGTTTACTGACGTCACTGACAGACACCAACTGTAATCTAAACATACTAGTCAAGTTTCATTCGAAAATTTTGTTTTATTGCGCAAACTTTCACACCATATTATCATTTGGAAGCTTCATTTGGCGGGTGATCTCTTGTGAGATTAACTTTGGGATGGAAAAAGTTTTAAGAGAAGTTACGTCGGTGGTCCTTACTAGAAGAAAGCACATTCTACAAGGTATGCCTGACCTCTTGTTTATGATTTAGCTGGGCTAAAGCTGAGTCTATCGTAAAAGCCTGATAAGTGTGCAGGTAGAGGTGTATTTCGTACAATTTGGGTTCAGGTAGAACACTCAGTTAATTGAAACTCGAGGACTACGCCTACCTGATGAGCCACAATAAAGGTAAAGCCAGCTGCGAGCTGTCGACGTTCTCAGGAACCTCACGACTTGTGTTACGACAGGAAACTTTTGAACGTATTTGCATTCAAATTGCAATGGAGTGGGATGACTAGATTTGTCATACAAATACATTAAGCGCACTTTAAAGCTTCCGGACTCTCTAAAAAGCTTCATCTGTTGCTATATCCTCCGACAGCAAAGCAACTGTCCCTGGACTCGTCTCCTGTCTGCTCACACTTACTTGAATCAAAGCTTCAGAAGTGGGAGATCTTCTTCAGGTTTTGGCCACTGCTGATTAATTTTCAGATGTACGTACATTACTCAAGGCTAAACAGTTCACAGAATTGTCAGGATGCAAAACGAAAAGTTACGTGTCAAACAATAAGGGGTGCCGCGCTGGTGATATCATTAGCCGAGTAAACGACCAATGCCTTGTCAAAAATAAGCTCCGCGAAATGTCATCGCTCTATTTCTACAAAATAGTGATTTAAATATGACCCTGAAACGGACGTGGAAATAGTAGTACGGCCATTTGCAGAAAGTAGTGCGAAAATCGTTCAAACTAACACACCTAATCTAACACACCTTGTAAACTTTTGCTATTTAGCTATTTCCGTGATATAACAGACTTTATTAGGCGTGTACCGTGGCTTGTCTTGGCAACTTGCTGAATTTATTACTCAGTGTGGTCGACGTGAAAGATTGCTTTCTATAGTCAGTTCATTAACAAGGATAAGCTTTAATTAGAAAAACCCTCGAGGATATTAGTTGAGGGGTATAGAAGTTTGTAATTGTTTCAGAAAAATTCAGAAAAACAACTCTTCCTCTAGAACCGAAATTTATGTATAATTCAACTGGGTATTTCTTCTACCACCAATAAGGAAAGGACACAATTTGGGCGCACCGTTTCATTGGTCAGCTTTCCATAACAAGTTATTTCCTGCCCACTTTTCTTAGGTCGTCAGGCCAAGCTAGCAGCTCTTTTGGATTAGATTTCGTATGACCTGATTGGTAATTTGGTTCGTGACTACGTCGAGGTTGTCATGCTTGTGAAAGTACTGAACACAATGAGTCAGCAGTTGTTCCGTTTTCGTTGGGATTAATTTGTCCCTGTTGTTAGCCTGATAAAAACTGTGAAAATCGCTTCGCTTTTGAGTTTTTTTTTACGTTAAACTAGATGGTAAAAATACTCTTTTGAGTTGACTCAGACAGCATGGCCGAGGTCCGTCATGGGACTCATCCCTTTAAATCACTGTGCATCAGATGAAATAGGTGTAGTCTATTTTTCCAATTGAGACCATAGCAGCTTAAAGCAAGTCACTTATTGATCATCGGAACGCGCGTGACCCTAGGGTCACTAGCTCGTAACTGTTGAACGTAACTACAGGTGCAACCCCTCAGTGTCCACTCAGGAACACTTACTAAGCGTTTCGCGATCTGACCACATGTTATTTGGTAAGACCACACGTCTAGGTAATCAAGCTATTTCTTGGGGGCAAAATCACAATAAGTGTCGGCTTCTGTTGACTGTTTCGGAAGATTGATTAAGTTTATGTAATCAGGACCGTACTTGTTCGTTCAAACCAATCCTCAAGATCATTGGGATATAGCAAAACATGATTGTCAACTACCATAACACGATTCATTATTACAACTGTTTGAGAAATAAGTAGTTGAGTTTATCATTCATTTGAATACTAATTTGGTTTTGGCCAGAAACTCATCTGGAACCCAGCTGAATCTTTCGTTTATGATTTTTTTAAGCAGCTAAAGGTGCTGCACTAGGCCACCTCATGTTTCAGCTGGTACGATACTCGCACTACTGATAAAGCTGCTGAAAACTCTTCGACAGCCAACAACCGGTTTCACCCTTCCTGGGGCCCATCAAGTAGGCGCAGTCACCGAGTTTCCGTCAAGCTTATGTTATACTTGAGTTCAAATTGGATAAATTTTGATAAATACATTCATTTTCATACCAATTTAGTTTTGTCGGAAGGCTCAAGTGGAACCAAGCTGAATGTCTTTTTTGCTGTGTTTTTAAGCTGAATTTCTTTTAGTCACACCTTAGAAACTACTGACACCCTGCTGATTCCTTGAGCCTCTTTCAAAGAGAAGTATTTGGGGCAGTAGGTGAACTCAGTGCTTTCATGTGATTTTTATGATGATTGGATGCCATCAGCCTCCTACATTGTGTACATCGCAATCTTGCGGACTTGGGCGGCACTGAACAAATCACGCAGTTGTGTTTCACCACCGCACTGGTCACGTGTTTGGACACGTGTTTGTTCTGCATAAACAATTTTTCAGCACGTCAGAACAACCAGTGGTCGTACATACATTGTTTACGTTTAGCCAGCTGTGAAGGCCAAAGTTAGCAAAAAGATATACGCAGAAAAGATAGTTCAAGTCTTTGATTAACCCGATCATTTGCGCCATTGACGTGTTTTTGCTAAATATAACTTCGACCCTGATTATCGTATGTATTCACATGCTGGTTCCCGCCAAAGCCGGGAAGTTTGAATGTTGTACACTGTTTATAGTGGGATCCATTCTGCCGCGAATGACGGCGATGATGGAGGGGTGTTCGTTGTCATGACAACGAAGTACCTACTGCTCCTGGGTATAAGCATGCTATATCTATGAGGTTACTGGGTACGGATATGGAAGTTTCTGACAAGTCATATTTGTTCGATGGAGATTTTATCCCGTCGGCCAAGCCAGTCTATGCAGAAAAACCCAGCAGCACTGTTCAGCTGTTTTATCCAGCGGGAATCATCGACAATGCGTACCCCACGGAACTCAGAAGGTTTCTGACCCTCAACCTTTCGGCCAGCAGTTGAATACTTGGCCTTTTGGCCACAAGTGGCTGGTCAGCAGTGTGATTAGCTCTCTTTTAAACCTGACATAGCGCCATTCATCCTGCGATAGCGGAGATCACATCGCATGGCACTCCGATGAAAAAGTTTCTCATCAGCAACGACTTGAACACGCGGCTTGAAAGACCTTTCAGCGTCAACCTTTCGGCCATAGCTTAAGATAGCCTGCATATCGTAACTGGTATTTACGTCGACCTACCCCAACGAAGGGTTGTCAGCCAAAGGTCAAACGGGTCATATTAGGTGGATGGATGATCCTCATCACATACTAAGTCCACAAGCAACCCATATGACCAAAAAGGCAGTTGTATTTCAGAGTGGCGAGAATGATATTTTTTTGGTAGCAGAATATGGAAAACGCATGCTTTGCAAACGCTGCCTGAGACAAGGTGACTCGTATAAACTTCCCGTTCTCGACCTGAATGTTCACTTTCATTACATATTATCACTCTGGAGTAATCTTATAGGAAGTGCCATTTCCTTCATTTGTTACAAGTAAGTGATTTTCATGTCTGTTCAACAGTTTATCCACTTGTTTTACACTTTATAATTAGGAGCACTGCAAATACCCTCAGTAGTTATTTGAATGAGGTTTGATCCAATCTGACAGAATGTTGTACACTCAGTGGCGCTTAGCGCCAACTCACAACTAAGTACTGTGATATCATTCAACAAAAAAGAACCTCAAAGGGTGCTTCAAAACTAATCATCTACCTATGTCTCGGTAAGATGGGTACAAGAACTTTTATATTTTTAGGAGTTTAAGCGATTTAACTCACTTTCAAAAAAACAAAGCGATAGACCACCTGTTACGTAAAAACAACTTGATGCCTTATGAATACATGGAATACGGGATACTTAATGTGAGGTGTCGACGTGACGGTATATCTCTTTTGCCTTACTCCATTTTTCGGAAAGCTGGATTACTCCCGTCCAAACAGCTTGGTACAGATTTGTCTGGTTATTGTCAAATGGCAACTATGTCGTCTAAATTTAAGTTATTGTGCTTGAAATTGAAAATAGACGCGACCATTCTTCTGTCCACCAGATCGCTCACTTCAATCATCCTTGCCCTACTTGTGATCGGATCGATAACAGAAGCCATTCTATACACTCGCTGGTGGTATCAATATGAATACACCGAGCCTTATTCACTAGAATCAGACGGACCACTAACCCAAAAAGCGACGCGGTTGATCGTTGGCGTCTACGCAGAGCTTCCTTCCAATGGATCAGAACCCTCAACATCATGGAATCCTAATGAAACTCTACTTGCGGGAAAGATCGACTATCTGGCATATCGCACGAGTAAGTCTCGCGGGATTTTGCTTGTTTACTTGGTTTTTTGACAGAATAGAACTTTGTTTTCACAGATAATGAAATCAGTGCTGATTCAAAGGCTTCACTATCCCACAAACACAGAGTGTATTTATTTGAACCATTGCGGGAGGCTCGTAAGAAAGAATGACAAAAAGCTCATTGCTATTCAACCGGAAGTGTTTTTAGATAATCACAATTCCAGTCGTTCAGTCAGATAACTTGTGAGAAAACTGAAGCCGTTTGTCCACCATTTCTTGCCTCCCATTGAGCTACATGAAGGGTCACATGGACTTTATCCTGGAAGGCAGACTGCATCGAAAACTCACACACTGCCCTACAGTTGGATTTCATTGCTCCGAACGAGTCACGGAAAATAGTATTCTCCTAGCCAGACGATCGCTCTGCAATCGTACCACATGGCCAAGTCACCATAGCTAATGTTTTCGCCATCGAATCGACCGATGCGCGAATGAACAGCCCTAGTCTAGTTTATTGACACCGTCTGATGCGCGCAACCTACCCATAATTCAAACATGAAGATGTTTCAGATAATCTACCCGCATAAACCGTTTTGCACTCGTAGCCTGTGGTGACATTTTGAGAATTGCCGAACGAGTCACGGAAAATAGTATTCTCCTAGCCAGACGATCGCTCTGCAATCGTACCAGATGGCCAAGTCACCATAGCTAATGTTTTCGCCATCGAATCGACCGATGCGCGAATGAACAGCCCTAGTCTAGTTTATTGACACCGTCTGATGCGCGCAACCTACCCATAATGCAAACATGAAGATGTTTCAGATAATCCACCCGCATAAACCGTTTTGCACTCGTAGCCTGTGGTGACATTCTGGTTGAGAATTGGCAAAGGACAAACTGAACCAATGTTTGAACTATTCTGCAGAGGGATCCAAACACTATTGTTTGGATATAAGAGAGTAACCAGGGTCCATGGTGGTTTCGTTGACAAGAGGCCTCCTAGGACCTGTTGAGTAAATGAACCGGAGTGACTTGTGGACGTCTCCAGCACTTTCCACCTTCCTAATTCCTTTGATTCCTGGTCTGTTTTTCCAAGGTTTACTCGCAGACCATGAACGAGGTAGTGACGCAGAATAGGTTTTGGAAGAACGGCCCCCTGGCGATCAACTGGAATTTTTTATGGGCGGTTACTACAAAAATATGGCAAAATATACAAGCGAATGAATTCGTCGTCCATCCTCCCAGGGTAACAGTGATCCACCAATTAATTTTGTCTCCATCGGTCTGAATGGAAATTAAAAATTTAAGCTGTAGCGCCCCAGTCAACCACGTCAGACTTACCAACTCTTGCTAGGTATCTGCGATTTCGATACTTTCTTTTATCGTTTTACCGCAATAAGGTAGATATTACGAAAAGGCGAGTGCCGAGGTGACATTCTATGCTGTTGCCAAGGTGGCGACTTTTCACGATATCTTTCACACACTTGCCACTAAGGAAATTACTCACAAGGTTGCTGAAAACTCATCTACAGCCCACGACCGGTTTCGCCATTCTTGGGGCTC